TCTTGCAGAACTAAACATACTATTACCATACAATCCAAGAAACTGCTCGCATTATTTACCCAAAGAAATTTAAACTGTACATCTACTCAAAAACATACACATGGATGTTCATAGCTGCTTTATTCACAGTAGCCAAACTGGAATTAAGCAGGAGGTCTTTCAGTAGGTGAGTGGATAAACTGTAGTCCATCCATATGATGGGATGTTATTCAGCACTAAAAACATGTGCCATCGTGCCATAAAAAGAGGAATCTCAAACACATACTACTAAGTGAAAGAAGCCAAAAGAAAAAGGCTACATGCTATATAATTCTAACTATGTGTTCTCCTGGAAAAATGAAGAACAGTAGAGACAAAAAGATTAGTTGTTGCATGGGTGGGGTGGGACGAGTAGGCAGAGGCACAGAGGATTTTTAGGACAGTGAAAGGCTGCTTAATACTGTAGTGATGGATACCTGATACACATTTGTCAAAACCCATAGAATGTATATCACCAAGACGGAACCTAATGTAAAATATGGACTTTGGGTGATAATACTATCTCAGTGTAGGTCAACTACTTTTAACAATGTTCTGCTGTGGACCAGGCTGTTGATAATGAGGAAATCTATACTCATGGGAGAGTATAAAGGGTATATGAGAAATCCCTTTCTTCCTGTCAGTTTTGCTGTCAACCTAAGACTGTTGTTTAAAAAAATTAAAATCTTGGACTTAGAATATTACTCTGTAGTAGAGCATTTGCCTAGCATGCCTGAGGCCCTGGATTCTACTTCCCACTCTACCAAAAAAATTAAAAATCTTTTTAAAAAGAAAACAAATAACCACAGTACCATTTTCTCTCTTAAAAGCAATGTTTAAATTTCCCTAAATATAGGATTTTATTTATTTTAATCATTATTGAAAGAAGGCATAGAAATTAAAATTTTTGAGTATGAGATTTATAGCATACAATCTACAGGCTTTCGCCTAAACTTATTTTCTGTTTATGCACTGACAAATTACCAAAAATTAGACATCTTAAAATAATAAAAATTATCTAACAGTTTTGTGGATCAGAAGTCCAGGTCTTCTCAACTAGTTTTTCCATTTAGCTTCTTACAAGGCTAATATCAAAGTACTGACAGGATCCTTTCCTCAAGGTCCTGAGGTAGAAGCTATTTTGAGGCCATTTAGGTTGTTGGTTATGGGACTAAAATTCATTTGTCTTGCTGGCTGTCAGCCATGAATCTTCCTCAGCTTTTAGAGGCTACCCATAGTCGGTGGCTTGTGACCTCCTTCACCATGAAAAACTGCACGTAGGTGCCAACTCTTTCTAGTAGCTCAAATCTCTTTTACCCTCCTTCTTCTGTCTTATCTCTCTAAATTCCTCCCCAGGAAAATCCAGTTTTAAGGCCTTGTGTGATTAGAATAAATCCACCCGTGTGGACCTGAGGTATAGCTCAGTGGCATGGCACCTGCATGGCAAGTGTGAGGTCCTGAGTTCGATTCCCATTTTCTCCCTCCAAAAAAAATCCATCCCTGTAACCCAGGATAATCTTGTTATTCCGAAAACCAAACTTTTAAACACATTTACAGCATCCTTTTTGATCTGTTTGTAGGTATTAGGAATTATATACAGCATCCTTAGAGGATGATTCTGCCTAACACATCATTCCCATCTCTATTTTTATCCTTGTAGTTAATTTGTTAACAAAATACTAATATTTTCAACAACCACACTTTTCAAGGCCACAACTTTGCAGGCATAGTCTTTCTGAGGCAACTGCAAACTTTTCACTTTTGTTTTTGCTCCTGATTCTCACTGAAGATCTGACTAAAAGCAACTGACAGTACCCATGTCACTGCCTGGGCTGCTTTGAATTTTCTCCCACCAGATCAGCCAATCCACCTCTCTTAATCTCATTTTCCCATAAAGTCTCAGGACATGCACAAAATGGAGAAAAATTTTCTGCCAGGGTGTAACATATATAATCTCTAGTCCAACTGCCAGTAGAGTCCTTTTTCTCAACTGCAGCTTCCTGAGCCTGGGTTTTCTGTATGCATTCACGCATTCTGGTATGAGCTCTGACATGAATCACCTGTCAGCACTGGTCACAACATTCTAGAACTTCCATAGCACACACCTCCACAACCCACTTCCAAAAGCTGCTAAACCACCTACTCAAGGAGTCATAGCAACAACCGCACTCCTGGTACCAAAGACTCCTGGCCACTTTCCAGTTGTGGGGACAAAATACTAAAACTCCCAGCTTAACAGAAGAGAGATTGATTTGTGCTCACAGTTTCAGTCCATGTTTTCCCAGCTCCAAGGCAGAAACAGGATGGTGGAAGGAAGGGCCTGGCAAAGGAAAGCTGCTCAGCTCATGATAGCCAGGAAGCAGAAAGAGATGGGAGGAGCTGGGAACAAGAATCCTTCCAGATCACACCCCAGTGACCACCTCCTACCAGGGCCCACCTCCTGATAGCACATTTAGCTATTCTGTCAGCAATGGATGAATCCACTAATCCATGAGATTAGTACTCCATGATCCAGTTACCCTCTAAACACATGAGACTTGGGAACATTTTAGATCACAACCATAACATACTATTTGCATACTGTATTAGTAAACTGTTCAGACCTCTTGCTTATTTTACTATTACATTACTGAGATTCTTATTTTTAGAAGTGTGTTATACATTAGGTATATTTACCCTTTATAATATAAATTATAAACCTCTGTGCCACTTTGTCATTTGTCTTTATGGTTTTGTCTTTTTGCAATTCAAAAGTCATTTTTTAAAATTTTCGTTTGGTTAAATTTATTAACCCTTATCATGTGTGGATATTCAGGATCTTGAGTCCCCATTCCCATGTCTAATTTTTTTGTATTTTAAAGCTCCAATCCATTTGAAGTATATTTCCTACATATGGGATGAGGAAAATATTTAATTTTTATTTTTCATGTGGCTGTCAGGTTAATCCAACATCCCTTACTGAAAACTTCATCTTTTCTTCCCTGGTTTGAAATGCTACTTTTCTTGCATGCCTACTCACATGGTTCCTTTCCTCTGTATCTGTCATTACTTGTCTATTATTTTTGACCTACATTTGATGACAGTGGAAATTAGGAGTATGGGATACAGTAAAATATTTTAGACCCAGAATCCATCAAGTAAATATTTTGAGTTAGTTATTTTATTTAAATAAGGAAAAGAAATGCTTTTGCATGTAGCAAGTCAGTTGTCTGAATTTTTCTTCATTCAGAGCCACAAGCACCCTGATGGAATTAGCACATAGGGTCATGCTTCCAGATCAGAGCTCGGCCCCTCATTGAACAGACATAGCTGTTTGTTGTGAGCAAGTTCTTGTGCCCTCATTTCCTCTCTTGTAAACTGTGGGTCATGTGCTCTTTTAGGGTGGTGGTGAGCATGGGTGACCTGTGTGCCATTCCTCACACAGTGCCTGCACACAGGGGCACACGGCCAGTGTCTGTCCAGCTCTCACTCCCTTGGGGAAAGAAATGCATCCAAAACTCTTACCATGAGATTTTTCTCCCTTACTTATGAAAATGAAGATTGGCCTGATTTTTACTCTGCGAAGCTGACTAAATAAAGGTGGCAGATGGAAAGCAGGACCTTAATCCCCCACTCCCTGGCAGTCGTGGTGCCTTTACTGGATGGCACCTCCTCGGACTTCCATGTGAGACAGGAAAGGCAGGTTGCTGGGCACTGGAACAGTGGCTGAGCGCTCCATGGCCTGTGTAAGTCTACAAGTCAGGGAGCACTCACAGGGGCTAAGAGGTCTGTCTTTCCTCCTTTCAATGTACTATCACTTTCAGCTTTTGAATGCAAAACCTTGAATACTTTACAATCCAGAAGTTTCAGGCACTTTTTTGGAGTGGGGAAGGGTACCGGGGATCGAACACAGGACCTTGCACTTTCTGGGCAGGTGCCTGTGCTGCTGAGCTATATCTCCAGCCCTTACAATCCAGAAGTTTCCAGGAAACTTCTACTTCACTATGAGAGCTCCTGCCAACCCTGAAGTAGTGAGACTCCTCTCTAGAAGGGAAAAGTATGGTCAGTATAATTTGTCTCTGTTTAGAATGAAATCGATATCGGAACATTTTTCTGGCAAATGTTCCCTATATCTGATTTTTCTTCATAGAGTCCCGGTTTGTCTTATTTAGCCTAATAATTTTTGTAATGGACTATTTTAGATTATAAGTCTAAATACATTTAAGAATGTGTACTTTGAAAACATTTTAGAATTATTCCTAAGTTACATTTATTTTCCTGGATTCTTAAAGCCCTTTTCACTATTCTAATGGACAATTTCAGCCTTTCCTTTTAAAATAAACCCTTGACAGTAGTTGATGTCACTCATCATTCAGTGGTAAAGATTATTATATGAAAATAATATGTAGCATCTAGCAAGATGCTACATAAAAATGATTTGGTCATTTTTATATTAAAACGTATTCATGCCCAATTATAGAAGTGCTCTCAGATACATGTGTATTTCAGGTTGGCAAAAGGATTATGATATGACCCTATTGTTAGCCAGTTTCCAGTTAGAAAAGCAAAGGCCTGAAGAAGTAAAACTTCGAGGCGCCCCAGGGCTCACGGCAAACTGGAACTCTACCCTAGAAATCATTTCAGTTCTAGTGTTCTTCCCATAGTACTACAACTAAACTAAACTCAGAAATTACCCAGAGTGCTAGTTGAGATAGCTATGTGTATTTTTTCTACAGTTAATATCGCATTACATTTCCCTTGAATGACTCTGATGGTTTATTTGCAACATTCCTTTTCTAATCTTTCAACCTGGCTTAATTTTCTTAATATGAATAGCTAAGCAACTGTTCAATATATCCAAATAACGACTGTTGAAACTATTGTAGAGAGATATCCTGGAAACTTGAAATCTCCTGGGGATCAGTCACAAATTTTTTTAAAAGGCACAAAAGTTGCACTGTTGGCTAAAGGACGTAATGTGAGTGTCTGGTTTTATTTTCCAGGTGGCCTTGCACGCTTGTGGCGTGGCAACAGACATGGTCATTGAACACTGCATCAAAACCCGGGCTTCCTTTGTCACCTGCCCCTGTTGTTACGGTTTCATTCAGAACACCTCAAAGTTTAATTTTCCAAAAAGGTGAAATTTAATACTCTTACCTAAGACACCGATATATGTAGATAAACCAGTGTACAAAACTTGTTTGATGTAAAACTACAAGGAGCTTTCATTTTGAGGCCACTGACTCTTCGCACAATGCCGAGTATTGTTGATAAATGTTACAGGAAAGAGCATCTCTTCCACTTCTCTCCTGATTTTTCTCCTGCTCCAGCTCTTGCTGAAGTTGGAAGTGAGTCTATGTAGGAATCAGTCAACTAGAAGTCCATCCACTTCAGCAGCTCTGTGTCTTCTAAATAAAATTATAACCATCCCTTCTAAGAAGCAGTAGAGTACAATGGAGACATGTTCAGGATCTGATAGGTACTTCCTGGGTGCAAACAGTGGTTCCTTTTCATTGTACAAGTTGCTTAATAGACAGACTACTTATTATTTTTCTGCCTGTGTTTCTCATTTAAAATGAGGGTTAAAATAGTAACAGTGTACAATAGTAACAATTTTTGTGATAGTGACATACATAGTACTTACAAATGGAATAAAGAAAGTGCTCAATAAATGTGAACTGTTGCTAGTAAAAGTAGTAGCAGTGATATTTTTAAGTAGTACTGTGTTAGCTTTGTATCACAAGACAAAGTACCTGAGATAAACAACTGAAGGGAGGAAAGATCTATTTGGGCTCAGGGTTTCAAGGAGTTCAGTCCATGGTCAGTTGGCCATTGCCTTGGGATGCAGTGGGTAGACCCTCATGGTGGCCAGGGAGAGAGGCAGGGAACGGACCAGCACAAGGCCTACCTGTCCAGGTGATGCTCCCAGTGGCCTGATTCTTCCAGCAAGGCCACATCTGCCCAACAGCTGGTTCTGCTGTGAGCCATCACTGATTAATCCATGTTAGTTTTAGAAAGACAGCCCTATAGTATGTCCAAAAACCTTCTTGATCAGTTACATCATTATTTCTAGGATACTTCAGAAGATTTTCATTAGAATATATACTTAAAGGTCTCCATATAAGTAAAGTAAAATACAAATAGTAGCCATCTTCTTGTCTTTTGTTCTTGCTATAATTCATACCTAGTTGAGAAAAAAACTATTAAAAAGCAAACAATAAAATATAATTTAAGGCTTATTCAACCATTGAAATCTCATTTTATTCTAAATCTATACTGATAAAATGTATATTATTGCAGCATATTATGAAAATTTTAAGTCTAGCACTATAAAAATTCTGAAGAATGCTAATTTCACTTGTTCAGCTTCCAAGTTAAGTGATTTAAATGTCAGTTTAGTTTTCATATCCCTGCAGATTTGCTGACATTTCCCTCCCTGGGAACTAATATCTTTAGAAAGTTGAGCTCTTTGTGCATTAGACCTCTCCCAAAGATAGAATCGGGGATTGATAAAGTGTTTTTAAAATATGTGGAAACAAGTACTCATTTCCAACAAGATAATTGACACTAATAAATTTAGCATCGTATGTACAGGTATATGTCTTTGAATGACGTAATTAAGAGTGAGGGCTAGAGCATGCATAAGAGTGTTTACGGGATGTATGCTTGCCTTGAATAGCTGTGATAATGTTGGTCGCCTGGTACACTTGTGCCTTTTTGTTCCGATGTTTTGACATCTGGGTACATAAGTTGCTGACAGGTATGAAAGCCAGCCAATCCAGAGCCCTTACCCTAACGTAGCCTTTATCCCTTCTTACACTTCCGGACTACTACACCTGCCCTAGCACTGTACAGACAGGTGCCTGACAAGGAGGGATGCCTTTCCGCTCCAGTCATCAAACCAGTAAACCTGTGTCTGCCCTCTGCTTCCTTGGTGCTGCCCGGGAACTTGGGCTTCAGGTCCCTGGCCCGTGACTAGACTCCTGTTGCCCTCACTGGCTGGCACCCTGCGTGGCGTGCGTGGCCCCTCTTCCTGGGACAGCTGAGGAGCAGAGCGTCTTTGCAGGGACGACTGCCTCCCAAGCTCTTGACCTCGCTGCCCTTCAGTAATTATCGGACCCCCACAGTGCTGCACCGGCGTCCACTTGTTCCTGTGAGGGCAGGAGGAATATAATAGCTACACTTCTCTTAACAGTAAACAGTCTGTGAAAGAAATGCTTTAAAATTAATAACACTGACTGTATGCTTTTATCTTTTTATGCATTTCAAATTGCCATATACTTCAGGATAGCATTTTATATTCTTTAGATACAATACACACATCTGTCAATTTATTTCGTGTGCTTCATTTTTAGAATGATGACTAATTTTATTTTTTCTATTTCAGTGAACAATTCAAGAAAACTTTATCATACAAGGTAATTTTAAAAAGCCCTAGATGTCTTCCTGATACACTTTTTATCCTTTCTTCACATTTTCCCCCTCAAGCATGTGTCCATATGTGCACTTGTATCCCTGTGAACGTCTAACACCTCTCTAGCCTACTCTGACCAATCCAGATGAACTCTTGCAGTGGTTGACCCTCAGTAGTTACCCTCCTTTCAGGATAACCAGTTACTGTACCCTGGTGGATGCTCGCAGAACGTATCAAAGTCCAAGTATGAGAGGAAAGACAGTTTGGTGCCCCAGCAGTAAGCAACAGCCCAGTCACTGTCACCCTGGCTGCCCGAGGCCCAGTGCCCACAGGGCAGTAGGTATGGACCGGGTGACTACAGGGAGTCTGTATGTTTTTCAAAGGTGTGCACTATAAAAACAAGCTTGAAAGATAATCTTGAATAAAGAAAAATTCTTCTATAAAGGTCAGATAGCAAACATTTTAGGTTTTGCTGGCCACAAACAAATCTCTTTCATATTGTTCACTGTCTTTGTCATTGTTGTCTTTGTTGTTAGCTTAGAACCCTATTAAAGTGTAAAGACTCTACAGACTTACACGCCATCCCTAAACAGGTCCCAGCTCCTGCCCTGTAGATTGCCACCCCTAGTCTAGAGCCAAGGCTGGCCGTGTCCCTGACAAGTGTGAAAAAGCCAAGAGAGAACTGTCTCCCAAAGGACTCATAGCACAGGGCCTCTCCAGGGACCAACCTGCACCACGCACCTCCCACCATTCTGAGCATCCCTTGCCTAGTGATCATAATAACAGGGTGTAAAGAGGAGTAGTAGGGGCCGGGGATATAGCTCAGTGGGACAAGTGTCTGCCTTGCAAGC